CTACCCTAAGGATGACATATCAAGTTTCACTGATCTACACAAAACATTCCTGAGATTGCTAGTTAGCAAACAATATTTTCAGGCTATGACCTTAAGGGTGTTCCTTGACATGTCTGACCTATGTCTCAGAGCAATTTACAAGGTCTATATTGTAGATGTACTTGATATGATATCCCTGAGAAGTCCAAGCACCACATGGTTTCTAAAATGAAACAGAGCCACAGCGGTGGTCAAATTCTGTCAAAACCTCAAAGCACTGCCATTTTTATTTGAGATGCAAACAGCCATTTGAAGTGTTAAATTGACATAACAAAACCCTGGTCAAGTACAATACAATATTGAATCCAAACTCCTCAGCAGAATTGTCATGTAGATACAAAGTGAAAAGAAGCCACAAGAAAGTCTGTAGCCTGACCATGTTAATTTTAGAGTATTTTAAATATATAGTATAAGGTAATTAAAAAAACATTGAGGCAACAGTTTTAAAGCCAAGAGCAAAGGTTGAAATGATCTTACAGTCTGGGTTGTTGCCCACCATCGATCTGACTGCTGATTTAGCATCTTCTCATAAGTCTTTGAAGGGAAGAAACTGGGAATTTTGAGAATATGTGTTATGCTATAATGAAAATTATTACCAGAAATTTAAAATGAAAAAACAATATTTGAAAACTATTTCAGAATCTTATTAGAAACCATTATTGTTTTGTAAGAATTTAGTTTCTTTGGAATTTTTTTTGTAAAAAGCAATTCTTCGATTGCAGTGTCTTTGAGGCATCGTTATATGCATTCATAGTAGACTGACTGATAACAGTCAAACTAGCCACAACATTAGATCAATTGAGTTAATAATTGCCCAGGTGAGCTGCAATGTCAGCTTTTGACAATAACAAGTCATGTAAAATGTAAGGGCATTAAACATGGTAGAGACTTGAAATGTAAGTAATCACTGTAAATGACAACAAAAAACAGGAGCATGTTTGCAAACACTGTTTTAAAATGAAAATGAAATCATTACTTTTGTGAGGACAATTTTTTTCTGATGTTTGACATGCTTTTCTATCTAAAAATGTTTATAATTCTCATTTGTAAACATGTATTAAAGTTGATTGCAATTACAATCGTTTACAGTTTTTTGGGGGATATTCTGGATAATAGAAACATACAACACTAAAGACTCTAAATGAAAATAAGATCACAATATTTGAATCAATGATCTGTACCATGATTTTGTATCTTTAATTCCTTAAACTCAATAAAACTTCAAAGTTCATTTATTAACAAGCAGAAAACATCTCTCTAGTATGTGCTCAAAATAACTAATGGTCATGTGGTAAAGGCCCACAGCTATCTTTCTCTAGAGCACAATGGTCATTTCCCTTATCCTTTTAGCTTACCATACAACATATACTGTTTTGAAAGACATGTTCCAATAATATTTAGAAGTAGGTGTGATAAAAAATAGTATCAAATCTAACAGACAAAAGCAGAACTTTCAACATTATTAAACACAAGCATTAGTGTGTTTTAAAGTGACATACTTAAAAATGCATCTGAAAGGATTATTTGCTCATGATAATGTGAAGTGATGTGCTACTTCCGTATTATGCAGTGGTTCCTGAGAAACATTAATACATATGATACTATATGTAATCAATTGCATCTCCAAAAACCCACCCCCTACTTAGGCTATCATTTCTAACCAGTATTCACATGAGGGACCGATATTCTGGTGGGCTAGGATTTAATAAAAAAGGTAACAAATTATGCTTCAAGATACATGTAGCTGAAAAAACGAAAGAAACTGCCTGCCACAAACATTACATTGTTGCAAGGTGTTTTTCATTTTTTTTAAAAATCAGGATCATTGTTAAAAAATTTCTGGTCTTGTTACAAAAATCTCTTCTTCTCCCCTCACCTCCCCCCCCCCCCCCCCCCCCCCCCCGAACGAATGGTCGGTCCCTAACAAGCAAGAGCCAATCAAGCACCTGCAGTTGGAAACAATGAACAAATGGATAGGTGATGCTGAAAAATGAAGCAGCTGCTGAAACTAATGGCTAAATGAATACTAGCCCCATTCTAAGGTAGAACAAAACTGTTGATGCACCAACTCATATGTGTACCAATATAAATTACACATACTTGAGTATATACTACACAAGTGATTGCAGCTGAATAATAACATTTCCTCATTGAACATAACAACATAAATACAATGAGGTAGGGTGACATGTAAGCAGTCATCAAAGTGATGGCACAAATACAAACAGAAGTGGTTGGAAATAAATCAGTAGAAACCAGGGCTATCATGTGAGGTGTAACTCTACAATATTCCCTGGAAACACAACGGAGAACCATTGATTCACAGGTGATTTCGGCTTACAATAAAGTATGACTCATTTGTGAAGTGTTATACATTCTCTACATTGTAACCTTTACAACAATGGTAAATAACCTTATTCATTAGACTTGTGTTGTGTCTTAAGCCATTTTACACATAACATATAATTTTAACCATCACTTCAATAATGGATTTTAGTGAAATACATATTTCACATTCACTATTCCATATTTGTGAGTATAAATGCACCTTTTATACAATGATATCTACACCTAAATACTGTATGTTAACAGGTGCATGTTCTTCAATCTTATTCTGAATTTACAGACAAGAAAAAACAAAATATACAGTAGCAATGAATTCTCATAAATCACTTCTCACAAGAAAAACAATAATGCTTGCTGTTTTCATAATAATTGTGGTAACAATTTGGAATATCTTAGGTTAACACAGTACCAACAGTTTACTTAAAAATAAGCAAAGCATTTGGTATTTGCTTGTGTATCATACAACTAAATAACAAATATACCCAGTGAAAACATCATCACACAGCGAGCTTTAGATCACTTTAGCTTAAAAAGCAACAATAAATGGTTACCTCTTGTCAGAGTTTTAAACATTAGTCTGTTGAGACTTGATGTTTAATGATGAAAAATAGATTAAAATGATTGAATGAAATCCATTTTGACAGAGACAAAGGGGCATATATACACTCGTATTCATTTGATTCCTAATATATTCATATAAATCTCTATTTACAACTATGAACATCACACATTGTTTTGTTTTTTCATGTCACAAGGCCATTGATTTCTTTAGAACTTGCATTATGGACTTCCAGTCAACAGTCTATTAAAACTTTGTTTAAGCAAATATCTCATACAAAATATTACACGGATCTTCTTCCTTGTTTACTGTTAATCATGCCACTGCAATAATCATAAATACAGCAAGCCCAGACCCTTGTCCTATAATGTCACAGGAAAATATGGCAACTATCAATATCTTTAAAGTGACCTATTTCTTTCAATAATATCTCAGGAGACAATAACCTAAAGCAACACCATTTCAAAGAAAATTGCATTATTCACAAAACGATCATTATCTATAATGAGAAAATCAAATAACACATTTGTAAAGAAAAGATTAAGAATATAGCAATTACATCAGATGCAGATTTCCAGTGTTTACAAGTAGTTGCAAATTACTTGATGCCTGTTTCATAATCCCTTGCCAATTAATACATAGTTGATGTTCCAAGTTAAAGGTTGTTCATTCTGTCTATGAATTTATTATCCTCTGGAGCCAGAAATTTGTTGACACTTGCACAATAATCTTTCAATAATTCTCATAAGCTTTTGCTAAAAATAATCTAATGTCTTCTTGATATGCTTGTATTTTTCATGAAACACATTTGTTGTCATAAACAGAAATATTAGTAACATTAAAGTGTAAATGACCCCTTCATCTAAGACTTTTGAGTCTTATAAGAAACGTGTTTGCACCCCAGTACATTAGCATTACTTAAATTATAAATATTTTCTAGCTGAATTTAATATCACACATTTTACTTTAACATGGTTAAATGTTTGCTTGGATTCATTTCATGATGTATACTTTAATAGCATAATCAAAATGCCTTGTTATCATTGTCCTGCAATGCAGTTAAGAGAAATGACAATGCAATTACCTGTTAATTCTGAATGTTTCGAGTTTAATTCATCCTAGCTTATGTTGATGACAAACATCTTTAACAATTGCCAGTCCCTAGCAAAATTGTAGGCTTGAATCAAAGTTGTCATTTATTTTAATATCAATTGAGGAAGTAAAAGACAAATGCAAGAAACTGTTTTCAACAGAACAGATTTGAAACGTAAGAAAATCCATAACTTAAATATTAAACACACTTTGGCCTCATGAATGCATTCCATACAGTAAGATGGCAAAAAATCATGCATATTGGTAATAATGTCAATCATTTGCAGCAATTAATCACACTTCCCTCAGCTTTGTATAAAGTCCTTTCTGAACACAACCCATTTGAATGTCTCACCACATCATCAATCACTCCATGCTGCCTTCCCGAAGACTGTTTGAAACCTTTTGGTGCCAGTGGTTCTCTGTTGAAGTGCTACTCACAAGCTGAATTGGTTTGTGTGACCCCTCTTCATAGGTATGCATCATGTTGTTATGAAAATACAGTCTTTTCCAATTAGCAGGGTGATTAATTCATATCTTCAACAATTTTTGTCTCCATGGCTTGGAGTTCATAGCCAATCAAATGTCATCATTTGATTAATTGGTGTGGCATCAATGCATGTTCATTTTCCATGATACACTTGACATGTCACTCTTGTTTCATTACACACTTGAAACAAATGCAGTTCCTGGCATGAGATTTCATATCACATGTGTTACTAGCCATGGACATGATTGGACCTGCATGTCACATGATGATATCTTAAATGCAACATATATTAAAAACAGTTCCTGTTATGAGACACGAAAATGATGTGATGATTTAACATTAATCAATGAATTCATTACATACAAATATAAGTTATGAAATTTGTAAAATATACACTTATTTTTAACCCAGGTAAACAATATTACATATCATCACATGACCATACAGGGAGCCAAATGATTTTGATATCACATGACAGTCACATGACTTTGTCAACCAATGGTGTGGCACCAAGTCCATGGTCCTCAAGAAGAAGTGTGCCTTGGGCACAGCAACTCAACAAGGCACTGTTATTGCACCAGTTCTATCTCTGTCCGTCTCCTCATCATATCACATGCATACAAAGTGGGTATAGCAACGTGTAGAAAAACAATGCAATCCATGCAGACCCCTTCAGCAAGAGCCCAGAGGCTGATGAACCTTGGTGTGGCCCATAGGTAGAACCAGAACCTGTTCCTGAAACACAGAATGATTCTATAAACATTTAAACTGGTATGGATCAAATGACAAGACAATACTGCCTTGGACTGAACTATACCTTGATATATTTGATATCATCTTTGATTGGCCATGATTCCATAATATCATGTAATGGTCTCATCACACAGTTGTCTTAGAAAGGACTACTGCATGTAGCGACTGATGTCAACTAAAGTAATCCTTTCTCCATTCTTCTTCTTATTAAGGACATTTGCACTAGAGGGCTAGGAAACTGTCTGCTACAAAAGAGGTTAGTTGTCAGAAGAATTGTATTAGAATTCCTATCTCCCATGAGGGAAAAATAAATTGCCTGTGTCAAAAGAAAGACATAGCTAGTTGTTAACAAGTAAATATTTGATGACATTTGGAGTGCATTTGCAGAATTTAAAAAAATCTTGTTGCTTCCAGGAGGGAAAAATATATTGCATGTCTAAAAAATATGACGAAGAATTAGTCTTGGCTCAAATACACTTTACATCCTCGTCTCTCACACTGCACATGGTTATAATGGCCTGTTTCTTATATTAATGTTTGAGTGTCATATGGTTATGTAATGCAATTACAGCTTAGAAATGGTGATAAATTGATGTCATAGGTTCATACAAAAATGCTCTTGATGTGCAAAAGATCATTTATATTATCTAAAGCATCAAAACCTTGCAAAAACATTTTTATGTTACACTGAGAAAAAATAATATACATATAGATCCTAGCTACTTTCATGCATTTGATATGTGTTTCTAAGGTATGAACATAATTCATAATTGACACCCTCTATCAGTGCATCAAACTTGCCTATCTGTTAGAAACATAAGCATGCATCAAGAACAAAAATGTAAGCAGCACCTACTGCAGTTCTACTAGTGTTAATTACTACATAAAAACTATGAAGCACTACCGGTATATGCACAGAAGATATACAATTCACAGATCTGATGCACATAACATGTTAGAACTCACAAAATATATGCTGGAAATAATTTTGAATACAGTAACATGTGTCCAAATGACAAAAGTTGTTATTTGAGAGTCCTCTAAAAATGAAGTCACCACTTTGTTGCAATATTATTAGCTAAGTTAACCAAATGAATTCAATTTGAGATATGAAAACAAAACTGAGTATGGAAATACAATTTTCTTATGAAATAGGAGTTTTTCAAAAATCATTAAAACACACCTTTTTAGAAACTTGTGTCTCTAAGGCCACAAGAAAATATTTTTTACATATTTTTCTTAAAATTGACTGTTGGTTGATTATTATTATTCCAGCATGTCTATGAGTAGATACAAAGACCATATAGACAATAGGCATTATTTACAGCAACTTATTTACAACTGATTGCAGCATTTCATTAGATCACAACAAAGAAAAACAGTAGACTTAATATAAAAATGCAGTAATGTCAACTTCAAATGAGTTCTAGCCATGTAAAACTATATTACGAAATAGTGTGCAACGAACTGGTGAGAGACATTAAAGTAACTGAAATAACCCAAAGTGTTTACACATACATGTATTTGCTACCAATCAATTGCTACAACCATGTGTTATATGATAGTATAACAAGTGATTGCTTCCTTATACATCCAAATATCATTATCATATTTGGGAACGTATTTACTGTAAATCTGAAGCCACATCATAAGTAAAGAAAATGCAAATTGAAAACCAAAAATTTAATGCTATGCATGCTGTAATCATTATTACCAAATATCTATGCATTTTATTAAATATTCCTGGTTGTAGCACTTTGATTGTGTGTAAATATTTAAAATAAACAAAGTGCTAAAGTTATTGCTTCTAAGAATCAACACTACGATAGTGAAGCACAGTTAACATGTAGACTGACTGTATCGTGCTCCGTGCTGGTTGGACTGAGATTTGGGATCCACGGGTCGCGGTACTGCAAGCAGCGGGGAGAGAAAGTCAACCAGTTAGCCACGCAATAGTCAACAAGTCACACCTATGTTACCATGTGGTCACAAGTGTTTTCTGTTATTATCGGGCAAAAAAGAAAACAAATCTAACTGCAACCAAAGTTTAATCATATATCTTCTTGTTTCTACACATACATATTTACGAACAGGAATAAATCTATTGATTTCTTTAGATAATTTATCAGTTACAGAGACACCTCGTTAGTCCAGAACCTGTTTATTTACAAACCCGAGATCTTCCGGACAGTTACTGCTGGACACACTAACATGTACACAAAGTTTACTTGGTCTCAGGCTTTATTGAAGAACCGAATGATTTCAGGCTTTCACTCCATAAAACATTACTTACTAATGACCAGAAAGTGACCTGCTTAGATTGAGTTATAAATTATCATCAGATGGAAACTTCCTGTACTTTATAATAGTTTGTTATTCATTGTTGCTCTGTTATATGATTTTCAATGATTAATATATATGTATCACAAAATTCTCACATAATAATATAAGTGACTACTGACAAAACTATCAAATGAACAATTTGGAAAACAAACAGGTAATAGACCACACAGTAGACATGGGTGGGAGGAGTTTTCTGGATACTATAATTCTACTGGTCACTATGTAGATGAACTATGTCTATTCAGTGTTAATGTTTTTCCTGACTATGCAAATATATGACTTATTCTTATTCACTAGGTAAAAATACCCTTTTCTATTATATTCCCATCTAGTAATCATTTAAAGAATATGAAGATTAATATGATATGCAAAGAAACATATCTTGTCACTGATAATATTTTCACTGTCAATGTGACGGATCATGCATGTCATTCAATCTTTCATTAGAATGGCAGGTGAAGATGTTAGTGGTACTATGCTGACGCTAACTGTTGGTGCATATGGGAAGACATGCATTAATGGTTACCCCAATCAGCAGACAAACAGCAAACAACTTAATTAAGGATCCACAATTTCATACAAACTAATAGGTCTATCAAAAATGTAAGTTTTTGAAAATTATTACCTCAGTGGAATTTTGAAACAGTGAGTCAAAAACATGTGTATGAAATACATGAAATAACAATAGATTCATAGCATATCACATAAGCACATCTTTGCAATGCCATACACTTTCATATGCGAGCAATAGATTGTACAACCAAACTTTAACCAAAGACTTCTCAAACTTTCTAAAACAAATAAATATACTATGAAACAAATTGTAATAGTTCCAAAACAGTTTGTTTGATGCCATCCAAATTTGCACCAGTCTTCAACAGCACTAATCACAATAAGCCAACAACAAGTTCACATTTGGTTAATATACAGCAAAGCACATAAAACTACATGTTGGGTAAAAAGCAAAATTTTAAAAACATGTTTACCAAAGAAAACATAACAAAACTAAATATTGTAGATCCCTACCTCTTTTCTTATTAACTGATCCAGCTGCAAACAGAAGAGAAGGACAAATTCATGAGATGGTGACCAACCTCCCAATAGGAAAGTAATGAGTCTAAACAATAAGTGAAGGCTTACGCCACTTTAGAAATATTCCCTCAACATCATGGGATGACTGGGCTTCACACATTTTATCCATATGGGAATTACATCAGGGTCAACATCATGCTTGAGGTAAGTAAACAACCTATTGACAATCCTTAATAATAACTATTATTTTAATTTTCTCCAGCTCTAAAATAATTTTGAATGATCAACTGCAGTCACAGATGTCATATTTCTAAAAATCCCAAGTGGTATTGGTTTATATGCAGAGATTAAGATTAGGGTGTGTATTTGTCTAGGAAACTAAGCCAAAAATAGCAATCAGCTGTATACACATCTACCAAATGAGTAAAAAAATACCCAATAATATGACTAAACAGAATTTGGATCATTCAGTGAAGTCAGATTGTTCTGAAACACACACACACACATTGGACCTAATCCAATGTCACAGCTAACAGCACGCATAACATTAAACTTTATATCTAACTGGTTAGCATTTCAGCTTGAATCACTATTTTGTAAACTCAGTATTGATGACAAAGGCCTTTACAGATATGAAGCATGTACAAAAGTGAAGTAGCAATAAAGATACAAACTAAATTAAGTTGAGCTAGAAGGCTCTGAAGCTCACTTGAATTTTGCCGAAAATTTTCACCATTATCAATATTATGTTTAAAATAAGATGAAAATACAGGCAAATAATAATGAGATGCTGAAAATGCATGAGTATTGTAATTGGATCAGAATTGTTTAAAGCAAGCTCCGGCATTGAAGGTATCATGATTTCAACGGAGATGTAGCAAATGTAATACATTACAATGGACTGGTAATTATTTGTACCTTCGTTTCAGGTGAGCCAATAAATAAATGTACATATCTGTTTTATAGAACAGAGCAAATGGCAGATAATTAATTACATTGTGATTCCCAGCAATTAATCTGGCCACATTGCTACAATATTTCAACAGTGAATTGTCATCATGAGATTAAACGTGCTTGCCATTCAAAACTAGCCAAAACAAGTTCTAATCCAGATCACATTTAAAAAAACTGTCACACAACACATAAGGATGATGAGCAGGTAAACATATTATTAACAGACAACTTGGTAATCAGAGTGATTGAGTTTGATTTAACGCCACTTTGTACAGCATTCTAGTTATACCACAGCATTCAGCTCAGTGATAATGTCTCAGATGTTTTCAACAAATAGCCACAGGGCAGATTTGTGAGTAGAGCCAATTATCATAGATTGGTTCCTGGCACACCCGAAGGTCACAATTCAATCTGCACAGTAAGTATAAAGTACATATGACTAGGTTGATAAAGAGCAAAGCCATTTGATTACTAGTCTGAAGTGACCCTTTTGTCTTCTGACTTGGTTGAATGCTTTGGGAGCTTAATACGTGTCATAGATTACCCTGAGACCACACTTGAAGCTGACTTTATAGTTTACACAGTTGAAGTAGGAATTTTGCTTTTTAATTCCTTGTTTTATGTACTCATTGACTGAACATTTCACAAATGTAGAAAAATATTGAAAATGTGATAACTATCTTTCTCCCTTCCCATCTAGTTAGTTTTCAGTCATTCAAATTAGCTCAATATGGAAGTAAATGTTTTTCAACATTTTTTTAAATAATTTCCTTTTTATTTCTTCTGACCAAAAACATTTTCAAAAATTCAAATATGACAAAACATATTTTAACATTTTAGTTTTATTTCAACAACTGACAAAAGTATGTAAACCAAGTACAGTGTTCCCTCGGTATTGTGCTCTTCAATAACTAGGTTATAGCGTGCTGTAAAGCATGGCTCCCAAAAATTACTAACATAAACTCAAGTTTTCCAATGACACAATGTTTTCCCCCATCAAAGAAAACATTATCAGCTGATCAACGCAATCATGTAACACTGGAAATACCAGTCAACAAATCCGAACTGAAGTACACAATTTAATCCTATTATTATAATATCTGGTTATAAAAAGGTGTTCATTGTTTATCTGGACTAATGTTTGCAATATAAATTTTATTAATTATATTCAAAATTTCATTCAAAAATTATAATAATGTTTACAATAATTTCAGCGAAATCGTATGGGAAGTCATCGGTAGATTGCACAACTCACCGTTATTTACAGCAACCACGGTCAGATTACCACTATTGACGCGTTGAAATGAACTTTAGTTGCAAGAGAATGGATCCACATATCATAAAAGCCATACCATTACTCACTAAAAGTCATACTTGAGGCAGTTTGACTATTAAATGTCAACATAACATTTTTGCAATCAAAATATATATAGCGCGGGAAGCCCTTACAGTGACTGGTCAAATTGTTCCATACGTAAAAAGATATCCTGCATACCATCTGTACCAAAGTGCTACGCTTATCATTCTTATAATTTTTAGTATATATATGGTGGAAGCTGCAACTAAAATAACACAATATTGGAATATATTATTCCTAATAAAATAATAATTTCAGATACAATTTCTTCTGACCATTGCATCAAAATTCTTTGAAGTTGTATCATTGGGTACTTTGTAACTGAATCACTGGTAGATTTGAAGGAAACGTGTGCACAGCTGATTGCTATTTCAAGCTTAGTTTACGAGAAAATACACACAGTAATCTTAATTTCTGCATATAAAACCATGCCTTGGAGATCTGAATATACATTTTAAATGGTAAATCATCATGTCTAGTGATGTTTTATATCAAATTTCATACTTTTATTGACCAAGTTTGTTATATTTGTTTATTCACCTGAATTCACTGAAGAGATGCAATGTACTTTTGTGATAGCACATATTAATACTCGGTAAATCTTTTTTCACACTATGAATCATAAGCAACTTCTATTCTAATCTTTTTTTAAACTCTGAAACTTGCAATGTAGATTGTATTAGCTAGGCAGAGCATGTATACCTTCGTTAAACCGCTGATCATCTATAATGCTCATCAATTATTTAGACCCCGAAGGTAGCATTGTTGTAGCCAGGGATCACTGTATTCAAATTAAGAGGCCTTAACATCAGCACATTTTTTCGACCACCATAGTGGGACATACATGTCACAGTCATCTCCAAAACAACAAGTTCAAAGCACAAGTCTGTTCGGGCTCGTCAGCTGAGCTAAAAATAATCTATATAATTACTCTAATATCTACAGAAAATGGTGCTTAGAGCCATGTTCAGGTTTAGTAGTCAAAAGTTCTTGGCACAGACTGATGTCACGACGGAAGTACTCAATCAACTCAACATTGGCTGATGATGTAATGGACACCATCTACTTTCAATCTGTGCATCCCTACATGTACAGCAGCTATAACTTAATGAGCCCCAGAGGAGTTAACCATGTTGAATGGTGCATTTTTATTTCTAAATATACATGAAAATATCTCTCTGATTCGATCATTTAAGAGAAGTTCATCTGGAAATGTCAAGATGACATCAGGAGCATAATCCTGAGTTGCCAGGAGTGTTCACTTACCAACCATAACTGTGACTTTTAAACTGGCAATTTCCTCGTCTGAGCTGCGGCAGATATACATGCCCTTGTCCTCCTCTCTACTGTGATCAATGATCAGCTGGCTGACTAATGACTGATCACGTAATGACCGATATTTTGTGATTAAAATGTTGGGGTATTTATGAGAGTCTATTTTATCTCCCTCTTTAAACCAATCAATTTCCTCTGGTATGTGAGGACCTCCTGTTGCATTGCATGTCAACCGAATTTCCTCCCCAAGGTTGGGAAACTCTTTTCCTTCTATTGTTACTCCAGGTTTTCGGATAGGAGGACCTGTGAAAAAAATCAGAATGAACAGATTTATCAAGCCTTATAGAGAGTCTGTTTGATCTAAACCACAGGAACATTTTTTAAATAAATATATTAACATTCAAGCACTGATTAAAAACAATCCTTCATGTGAATCCTGATTTCTAAGATTGACTTCAAAGAGATTTCAGCTCCACAGAGAAACGAAAATGTGACAAAAAATGGGTGTTTTCATTTGGTCATTCTGATTTTGTCATAATAACACCAAAGCGAGCTGACAAATCTGAGATAATATAATTGGATGTCATTGTTCTTATTTCCTATATTTAATGAGTAAGGGGAATGAAATCACAGTCAGCAGTATCTGAGCCATATCATGACTGCTGTGGAAATATAGTCTGGACCAGGCACACCTGTGGTTGGTTGGTTGGTTGGTTTGTTGTTTAACGCCACACTCAGCAATATTCCAGCTATATGAGGTCTGTAAATAATCGAGTCTGGACCAGTCATAACATTAGCACCTGAGGTATGATCTTCATCATAGTCGGTTTTATCAACCTAGCAATTCTGTCCTCGAAACCCATGAAGGTTTTACCCTGATAGATCAATGATACACAGTTTCATAGCTTTTTTCTTCTTAAGAATGTTTAGCTTCAAATAAACCAATATAACTAAAACACTCAAATTTATTTGAACGGACAGTGCCAAATGTCAATAAAAACACCCACTCAACAAAAAACAAAACATTGTGTCATCATAAGGAGAAACATACACGCCAAAGTTCAACTTCCTCAGTCAAGCAATTTCAGAGAAGTTTAAGCCTACCTTTAGAATTCAACACCACAATACCTGTGACTGCATGTTCAAAAACTTCACACAAACTTTTCAGTCCATCAAGCCAGTTGAAAATGTAAAACATTTATTGATAGACGATTCAAATTCAGATACAAAGGTAAAACCTTCATTGATAACAATCACAAATCCGGGAAATGGAAGTTAGCGTGTTATTTAGAGGGGGGGGGGGGGTGTATCTCTTTTTCTGCTTGTGTTTACTAAACAACTGATGCTTGATTGATCCAAACTAACATTTTGTCTTGATATATACAAAATACTTACCAATAACTGTTAATGTTATATTTCTACTAAATCTTTTCTTGTCTGTTATCTGACATTCATATATGCCACTGTCCTTCTGACGAGCATTTTTTAGAAGTAGATTCCAGTCTGAGACTCCTGGTTGCTCATGGCGAATCTTGTTGTCCACAAACACCCGTTTATCTTTTATCCAAGTCAGTGTCCCCACTGTCATAACCTGCCCATTTGCCAGACGACGCCATGCAACCTGTTGTAAGAAAGTTGTGAAAAAATATATAACACATCAAAATGAATTGACAGATAGTGGATGCTAGACTATTTAGGAAAGGTAAACAAAGTTCAAATTCCTTCCTGTGTACACAGTAACGTGTTGTGGTAATGTGTGAATGAAACTGAACTGTTTGATGTTAATAATGTACAAAATTAAAGTACTTTCTATTGTCACACACCAATATATTGACATTCCCATTCACCAAACTAAGCCAATCAAATGTGAAGATCCAGGTTAGAATTGGTCTTCAGCAAGCCATGCTTGTCGAAAGAAGCAGCAGGTGGTCAGACTTGCTGAATAGTTGATGCCATATAGCTGGAATATTGCTGCGTGAGGCATTAAACAACAAACTAACGATCACTAATTGGAATGAAATATTAAAATTATCCCCTTGATGCCTCCTTATTGCGTATAACCTACCTCCAAGCAAGTAGTAAATGTTTAATTTGACACGATCAAAGTTAAAAATTGGCAAAAGCAACTGTATGTCGGAATTCACCAGAAAAGTATGTGAAATTGGAATATCTATCTGATACAATGACTTACCTGTCTTGTGCCCAGGTTTTTAACTGCACAGGGTAAAGTGGCCATTTCTCCCTCTCGCACAGTGATGTTGATGGTGGCTGCCAGGAAAGATGGACTTTTTTGTCGTTTGTTCATAAATTGCAAGGACTCTGAAACAAAAAATGTTCAGTAATTACTGAATGTTAAAATCAACAAGATAAAAACATGGTTATGATGAGGGACTGGTGAAATTTGTTTGTTATATCCTGTAGTTTGCGACTCGCAAATCCTTGTCAACCATTTTGGATTCCCCAACTGTTCATAATATCATAGCATGAAAAACCTTATTTTGAGTATAATTCATTCTCTCAATCATGTTTAAAACTTCAGGCATAGAATAGGTTCCCAGTACACCAGCTTCTCATGGTTGATAAAAATGAACAAAGAGACGATTTTTCTACAGTATACACTGAACACCCCTTACATGATTACCAACTACACTGTACATGGTCCTGGTCTAATTCTTCCCGGCCCAACCTCAAGGATGAACAAATTGGAAGTGTTTTGTTAAAGGTTCTTATCTGAAGATGTGCACACTAAGGAAGGGTACTGAGACTCGGCTACACTCAGTGTCACTGCACCTGAAAGCATGACTTCCCTCCAAGTTATATTGTATGCATATGTTTCTAAATATTCGTATATAACATGTTTCGATCCAACACGACTTTTCAAGGATGCACAACGCAGAAAAACAGTGTGATATAATCTATCAATGTGTGTGCCTAAGGAAACATCACAGCCAAAAGTTGAGTATCACATTATGTGCAACACCAATAAAGCAGCCATAATTGCCATGAAGATAACGCCAAACCTTAATGAACACATAACCCTTCAGGTGTTATTCTATGCGTCTCTTTTCATGTAGTCACAGTTAAGTAAACACGCTTGGCAAGCATTTCCCCAGCCTTGTCAATGATTGTTCCCCATATTATGACATCCATGAACCTACATGTCTGCAATGAAAGACTAAACTGCTCACAGCTGCCAAAGCCAACAAGGCTTCATCATCAACAGGTTATGCGATCAGGTAAAATCAGTGACACTTCATATACTGCAACTAAAGCGTACTGGGCAGCTTTATCAAGATTGTGGAATTTGATATAACTAGGCGATGTAGTTTCTGAGTGATCGCTTCAAATTTATCCAAGCTTGAATCTTCCTTCAAGACTTGGACTATACATGGAGTGCATCAACAAAGACCTTCTTGGCAGTGTTAATCATTTGGTTGAGCAGATCTGTTATCGGTGTGACATACTGTCTCCTTATGTTCCACAAAAGCTTCGTAAACAAATACACATTTCAATTTTTTACATTTGACAACATTCATTATTAAACTTTCTCAATAGAATGACAGCATGTTTGAACAAGTGTGATGGGATTTTTGTGGGTTCTTTTCCACACAAGGCTTTCATTATTAAGCACATCATTATAATATACAGAAAATTAAGTAGTGTCAAATACTCCATATATTAAATGTTAGCCTTAATGTATGAACATGTTTAAAACTAGATAAGTGAAAGCAATAACAAGCAGGTCTGTCTTTAACAGCTTCATGTTTAACTTTCTAAAAATGTACACCTGCAATCTGTGCCAAAATGTTTTAAAGGTTACTGACTATAACTTGTCTGTCAGTAACATTTTTAGTAGTACGTTTCAGTAATAATATATGGACTATTATTAGATAAAGTCGCTACACGAAGGAATTTTTAGTGAACTCAGATTAAGTTGCACACAGTACCTGTCATAAATCTTCACACCTAAATTATCCATAACATACATTAATTCTAACAGTTTCATATTATGATACTTATAATCCAGTTTTAAATACACCATAGATCTCTTGCAAATTGTTTTCTTCAGAACAGTATTTCCAACAAGTTTTCCTTTCATCCTGCTCATGAACCTTGAGCAGACAAACAACTAACACCAATCCTAAATCCCATGAAGAAAGAATCCTTTTTCCTTACCCAATTCATGATATAAAGTTATCTTCTGAAGAATTGATTACCACCTATATGTAATGTTTAGGTCTTAACTGAATACTACTGAATAAAGCATTCATAAAATCTACCTACACACATGGATTTCTTATACAATGTACATAAAGTGAAAATCATCGGGTTGTTAACAATTGGACCATCATGATACATATGATCAAACATCTGATAGGATTCCTCATTACATTGATCAGTAATGAGCAAGTTTTCAGACTAAACATAGACATGTCCTTTCGTGTAGAAAATGACTGTGTCTAAATCCAATGAAAAGTTTCATGAACTAAACAGACACATCTGCTATAACAACCAATGGAATTCACAATCACAACATGCTGTTGAGTATGTTTCTTTACAAAGCATTTTTCATGAATTATCTTCCTTTTTCTCCTGATCCAGAAACGTTTATCTGACAGTTACAAAACTTTGGACATGTGTTAAACCTCTGACGAAAGCCATTACATATAGCTGTTGTAAATGGTGTGAAATATATACTGAAGAATGTGTCTGAGCACATAGCAGGACTGATAACACATGCCTGTGTAAACTTGGCAATGTGCACGATACCAGGTTAAAGAGACAACTCACATCCCCTGCTGTCAGATAGCTTACTCAACGTACTTAACTTGTTGAAAGAATAAATGGGAAAGAAGATTTTGTAAAAGCATGTTTGACAAGATTATTTGCACAATAATGTTCCAAAACTTGTAAGAAGCGTCTTATCACACCTTAAGGACCTGTTTCAATGTGTATGAAACTTGGTATATCTTTCTAAACAGTTTTATCAAACCTCCTTGCTTTATTCAAAACTATTACGGCACACAATGACAATTAATGGATTTGGAAATGACAAAGGGAGATTTACCTTATTAACAATGAATTCTCTGAAATGTATTCAAACAAGTAAGAGGTATAATATACTATGCAGTTTACAAGTCTTTATAAGCAATAGTAATCTTCTTAGTCCATTATTTAAGCAGTGTAATCACACCATCAAACATGACAGATATATTTCTAATCATGGCTGCCATGACTTCAACATCACCTGAGCCAATGGTTTGTACAGTAATGTGTCATTGTACATTGTCATCTTTAATGTCAGTACTCTCTAAATCTCCTTGAAACCACCTGTGCTGCTGAACATTGTATGCATGGTCACAGGACTAGTTGACTCCCTTACATGTATTATTTTACCTCATTTTAAACTGGACCTGTGAAGATCCGGGTTAGAATAGGTCTTCAGCAACCCATATGCTTGCTTTAACAGGCGACTATGCTTGTTGTAAGAGGCGACTAACAGGATCAGGTGGTCAGACTTGCTGACTTGGTTGATGCATGTCTTCGTATCCAAATTGTGTAGACCGATGCTAGTGATATCAATCACTGGAGTGTCTGGTCCAGACTAGATTATTTACAGACCGCCATCATATAGCTGGAATATTACTGAGTGCACCATTAAACAACAAACAAACAAACAAAATTTTAACCTGCCATTTTATCAGTCATAGCAGCCAATAGTCAACCTGCTTAACCCTGTTGTAATGTATCACACATAGGACATCCTGGACATATAGTGAGTGAGTGAGTGTGTGAGGTTTTTACGCTGCTATTGGCAACATTCCAGCAATATCATGGCAGGGGACACTAGAAATGGGCTTCACACATTGTACCCATGTCAGGAATCGAACCCGAATCTTCGGCATGACGAGCGAACGCTTCAACCACCAGGCTACCCGACCGCCCACTGGACATTCAGTCTGTGTGCAGTATCATCCTGTACATGTTACGTTTCTGTGTATTCTATTTTTTAATGGCCTTCAACATTTCATTTAAACCCTAAAAAGGGGCATATGTAAATAATTCATTATCATTATTAATAATTTTAAACCTGTGATATCACATTGAAATCTCATCTTTTATTAATTGTTGGCCTTTATTATCTTTCTTTCTACATTATACTAATAAATATACAAATACAAACATTCAGGTAAATTATTGTTTGTGCAGCAGGCCATTATGACTTTGAAGCAAGTAACATGCAAAGAAAAGTATGATGTGAACCTGTACTGATCAAACAAAGGAAGCTGAATGTGTATACAATGTGATTTAGAAAACTGGTAAATGTGGACCAAGTATTGTACACAAGGCAATTGGTTTTTTGTGTACATGCAATAAGTCCAAATAATTGCTACTACAAAACATAACCGAAGCATTTACACATGTTGATATTCAATTATTTCCACACCAAGCAACTTAGATGATCTCACAGGAATAAGCGGCTCCTAGCGCCATAATATCTGAACCAGAAAGTGGACCCGCCCTTCCTCATTGTTTGTTAGGTATGGACGGAAATGCAATCTGGTGTTCAGGAAGGATTACATGCTGCCATGCACTCATCATCTGATACACATCAAATAAAATCTGGCTGGTTGATATGCCAATACACATATACAGTGTACTACATGCACAGGGAGTGAGCAGGGATTTATGCCATGGTAGCTAACACTAGAGTTAGATCAGTGCAACCTGTAATATCATCAGGTTGAGTTCCATCACACCACTGGTCGATGGTGTGAGCAACAAACTATGTTATCAATGTCTGATGACACACATTCATATACCCGGTAGGTCACAGGTGCAGTTGGTCAATGAAACAAACAAACGATCCACATTGTTTGTCTCTTTTGAGATGCGTGTGTAACCAACGGGCTATAGCAAGTATACACTTCAAAATTGGATTTGACAAAAAACAGACTCTGAAACATTGCAAAAGTAAGGTCCAAAAACAATAAATACCTGTAACAAATACATCCCCATCGAATAACCATTTCTTGTTTATTTCCTTTTTAGCCACCATCATGTATACTTTCTTTTGCCAGGCAGTTTATTCTGCCCCAGATTCCTATTGTACGATAATAAGCATGTCTGTTTGTATCAATAAGACAGGATTGATCTGACCAAACAGTCTTAAACATGAAGAAGGATTGACCAGGACCTAATGCTAACAAAAGCAATATTCTACCTAGCAAAATGGCCAGCGAAGATTAGTAAAGCTTGGAGCAAACAAACAAGTGAATGTGCTAGCTGAGATGTGAGCCACATGAGTTTATCCAAAG